TTGTCAGTGCAGCCCCATTCACTATTGCTACCTTAAACGTAAAGGATTTCTTATTTTTTTTTCCTCTGGATACATGCTGTGAATAATTAGCTTGTACTATAATTTCTCACAGGGTCTCATAAAAGGAGCTTGAGTCTAGGTGACAGGGAGATAAGCCGCTCTTCCCCATCACCAGCTTTGGAGCAACCATTTAGAGATCGCTCCAATACTCTGAGTGAGAAGCCTGCTTTGCCTGTCATCAGAGACAAATACAAAGACCTCACAGGGGAAGTAGAGGTAAGGATAGGTCTGCAAACCCATCCAGGTGATGCTTGCTTGAACTAATGCAATATTAACAGTACTCTACTGTTCATCTGTTTGGGATTTTTGGTAGACGTACAGTTTGAGGCCTGATCCTGGGGGGGGGGGGTTCAGTTGCATGCAGCCTTCAGGCCTTGAATTGTAAGTTGCTTGGGAAGGAGTTTTCTCCTCCAGGTTTCTTCAAACCCCAGGCTCATAAAAATGACACCAAGCATCCAAGGTGACCCAAAGTATAGTCAATGTTGTATACTGTTGTACTTCCCTTGTGTATCCCTGTCCTCGCTCAAATTTACATATATAGAAAGCAAAGTTGCATTTAAGGAGGAATTATTAAGGTGCCGATAGTGGATAATTATCTAAATCCATGGGGCATCAAATGTTTCTTCTTGGTGTTTTGCATAGTCTTTTAAAAAATATTTCCTATGCGCCGTTTTAAATGGATACGTTGGAAAGAGAGTTTTATTTCCTTTTCCTTTTTCTCTGAGCAGAGTTCCAAGAAGGTTTAGAAGTAGTTTCCTGTAAATGAATCTTCACGTGGCCTGTTTAGTCAGCTACAGTTGGTCTACTTGCTTTTGGTGACTCGTCTCTTTTGTGATGCATGATGCTAGATTTGGGAGGCAATAAGAGTGTGTAACCCCTTAATCAACATAGCTCTTTAAGATTTAACTTCCATAGTTGTAACTATATTTAATTCAACTATGCAATACCCACCTTCCCTGTGGAGAAATATTGTTGAGTTTTAGAAACTTAGATCAATATCATCTGTCACTAGGCCTGAGTGGTTCAAGTTGGTGACGAATGCAAATTATTCATAAAATCTAATCCCAGTTATGGTACAGGCCTCACTGGCTGTGGATGAAGTACTGCAGTTCAGATACTAAGGCGAATGCGTATTTCCTGTTTTTGTTTTCAAATTTATCCTCCCCAATCTAACGATGCCTCCTTATGTGACAGCCTGATGTGCTTTTTGTATGACTCTTCTTTTTTTAAATAGGAAAGTGAGAGATATGCATATGAGTGGCAGAGATGCCTGGAAAGTGCTCTACAAGTAAGTGTATAACCTTTATTGAAATTACCGCCTACTTCCTGCATGTACTGCATGATCCAATGAAAGCATCTGGAAGGGCGTGTGTGGACCTGAATGAATTGTCTTTTAAAAATGAATGATGTCGATTAGAAGATGACTTGCTGTATGTGTGTGTGTGTGTGATATATATATATATATA